GAATCAGCAGTCGAGGACAATGAATGTGAAATATTGTTTATGGAATCTATTCCGCAGTTCAGCACAGTCTATCCAGAAGCTCATGTGTGGTTATTGAAGACATATATGTACTAATTAAATCTAACTATGCAATTATCTCTATAGTTTTTTATCATCACTTGTTGATTATCTCTAAATTTACCATACCTAGCTAATACACTACTACTAAGGAAAAAGGAAAAAAAGCTTTTCCTAAAAAATACTGAGCCTGGTCCGGATTCTATTAACCCTCTCACTTGCAAAGTGAACAATGTAGTCTTGTAAGATAGTTAATAATTATTTACCTTTTGATTTTGAAGACAAATCCTACATTGTATGGTGTGACTATTCAAGTGAAAGCTGTTTGTAAGTAGTACTATTTTAAAATGTCTTTCACCATTTTACAAAATGAGGCTTAGAATTTTATTTAAATAGTCCATTTTACAGTTAAAGGTGAAAACAAGGTTGGAGTTGACCTTGTAATGTATTCATACAACCCTTCCTACTTGATTATGTAAATTATGTTGTTTTTATGCTAACTAGTATTTTTAAGCATAATTTCCATAAGAAAAGGAAGCAGGTTTGTATCAAAAAAGGTCAACCTCAGCTTTGCATTCTCTCAAGGCTAGGATACTAAGCCCATAACTGTAACATGGCATATGTGAACTTTGCCTTCCTTTGGCAGTGAAATTGTGAAAACAAATACCATTAGCATGTAATTGAGGAAATGCCAAGAGCAATGAAGTTTGATTACTACAGGTACGGTAAAAACCAGCATGTAAAAGTAGTGGCTTACTTAAAAAACCTATGAGCAGAAATGATCCATTTTAATGACCAATAATACAAGAACCTGCATGTTTTAAACCAAGAAAGATCTAGGAGGCTCTTTTATTATTGGTTTATAGTTTAACTATGATAAACTATAGAGATACACTTATGGATTTTAGAACTGAAGCAAAAACAGTATTTTTCTGCTGCTTAAAGACCATAATATTATATCTTTCATAGAGAAAAATGGACCTAATTTAACCAGAACTTACTAAGTATGCATAAATATTAATTGCCAATAACTATCCAAAGTACAAGAACCTATTTTGCCATACAGTCAACTTCCTTAATAAAGTGGACACTATAAGGAGCTTGAGTTAGTGTCTTCATTAGTGATAGTCCATAATAGCGGAAGTTTATTTCAGTCAAACGTCTGTAATTTGTTTTTGCTTGGTATTTAGCTGCCGTCCATATTATCAGGGTGTTCCTTATAGCAAAATGTCCACAAGGCGAGATTTCACTGAATTTCAAAAAGTAGGTTCATCAAACATGCAGGTTTCTACTGTAAGTTAAATAAAGTAAGGAGACTTAACAAAACAATATTGCTAAAATGAAATAATTCCAAGAACTTACTTTTTTGCTGAAAAACTGGCTTTTGCAGTAATATCCCTTTCAACACAAGCCCTAATGCCAATCTCAACTTAAGAGCCTTTCTATTGTTAGGCGTGGCCACATAGTAGACCCTTGTCCACACAGGTTTATTACAGCAACGGGCAGTTCATTTGTTATGCATGGCCACAAAGGCCCTCAGCCACACAGGCTAATAGGGAACTTAAGATAGAGACGTTTTCGGGGCGACGGCAACTTCAACCGGACGTGACATCATCATTTGTCGGATATTGCGCATGCTCCTGCTCACCACCTTGCCGTCGTGGTCCCGTCGGAGACGTGAAACTGGCCTGTTTGGCGTTGTGGCGAAAACGTGAGCATTTAACTTTCATTTCAACAGGTTTGTTGCGTTTAGCAACCAACATTTTGCAGATTATCGTTCTTAAATTGTCCTTGTTTTCGTTGAGGCACATTTCAAGCTCGATTTCCAAGCTCTGTTATCTAAACTTACATCTTTGAATGTTTCTATGTTTTCATGTCACAGGGTCAAGATCCAACATGGCAAACAGCCAACCGTAAGTGAGCTTGACATGGACAAAATTTTCCCACGAGCCAAATAAAAGTATCCAGACAAAAAATATGAACTCCGATATTTCAATTGTGTGTCTTTTAATAGTTCGCTCTTTTCGTCAGAACATCGTGTAGATGAAACGCATTGAAAATTATATAGAATAGTAGGTAATGGCATGTACTAACTCGGCGTGGGAATACTGAAATAAAGTTGTTGCCGTTGTTGTTGTTTTTGCATGTATTTCCCGGGAATTATTTCAATACGAAACTAAGAATACGGTTCCTTGGTAGCATTTTAATGTTCGCGTAATTTGCAAGGCTTCGGCAAGCCTGTGGAGATCATTTTTTTTCAACACGAAATTCTGCCTTGAACTCAGCTGCATCCCGCATGTTTTTTAGCGTGAACGGATCGTAACTGTCCCAAGGAAAATCGGGATTTTTGGACTCATAATTTTCCCACAAAACGAGAAACTCTTCATCCGATACATGTTGTCTGCATAGCAAATATTTATTCTCTTAATTCTTTATGTGAAGCCATATTTTCCTCTTCGGTATTCTTCTAATTAAAGGCGCCGTCCTTCTGAGTTCACTGCGATCTTAATGTTCTATTTTTGACGGGGAGCGACGGCTGCCTTAGTTCCAGGCTTTCTCTGCCAGTCCGGTCGCCGTCGCCCCGAAAACGTCTCCATCTTAAGTTCCCTAATTACAGCATAACGGCACTGTTATTTGTTATGCATGGCCACAAAGGCCCTCAGCCACACAGGCTAATTACAGCATAACGGCACTGTTATTTGTTGTGCTTGGCCACAAAGGCCCTCAAGCCACACAGGCTAATTACAGCATAACGACACTGTTATTTGTTATGTATGGCCACAAAGTCCCTCAGCCACACAGGCTGATTACAGCATAACGGCACTTTTATTTGTTATGCATGGCCACAAAGGCCCTCAAGCCACACAGGCTGATTACAGCATAACGACACTTTTATTTGTTATGCATGGCCACAAAGGCCCTCAGCCACACAGGCTAATTACAGCATAACGGCACTGTTATTTGTTGTGCTTGGCCACAAAGGCCCTCAAGCCACACAGGCTAATTACAGCATAACGACACTTTTATTTGTTATGTATGGCCACAAAGTCCCTCAGCCACACAGGCTGATTACAGCATAACGGCACTTTTATTTGTTATGCATGGCCACAAAGGCCCTCAAGCCACACAGGCTGATTACAGCATAACGACACTTTTATTTGTTATGCATGGCCACAAAGGCCCTCAAGTCACACAGGCTGATTACAGCATAACGGCACTTTTATTTGTTATGCATGGCCACAAAGTCCCTCAGCCACACAGGCTAATTACAGCATAACGACACTTTTATTTGTTATGCATGGCCAGAAAGGCCCTCAGCCACACAGGCTGATTACAGCATAACTGCACTGTTATTGGCCGTGCTTGGATATGTACAATTCATCACATCATTGGCATTAGCGCTATCTTATTGATATGACTGCAAACAAGACACCACCATGCTAAGGCTTTCACCTCTGAACCAATATTATTTTCAACACTTAGACCACATGTTCAACGGTGATCTTGAGACTGAGCCCACTCTATGAGTCTGAGAAAGGTTTCCTCCCTATACGCTGGCGCTAACACCCTTCTCTGCCGACACTGAGTTGCTAAGACATGCAGTCTCTCAATCTCCACTGCTCTAGCTCTTGTAGTTGGAGTGTCCACAGGTCTGAACCTGTCATTGTTTATCAATACATCTTCATGAAAAGCAAAATCAGGATCTCCTCCTTCCCCGCCTGCTGATTTTGCTCGTGACAACGCCACAAATAGAGCTCCTGGGTTTCTGGCTTCAAAGCCATGGTCCCCGTGGTGAACCAGTACATACCTGAATGCTTCTCCAGCACCCACAGTCATCCCTTGGCATTTGTGGATTATTGTTCCCCATGCCAGTCGCAATGGAACCTGCAGACGCTTGCATCGGCATGCGCAATCAGTGGAACGACTTACTGGTACAATTGGCACAACCGTAGGATCTTCATTAATGTACGGTGGCCCCCTATATCCTGGAAACCTCACCAGAACCACATCAGGTACTGGAGCAGGATCATCAGTAGGTCTGCGGCCATCTTTGTACACAATTTCTAGGACTGTACCTACCGCCCCATCGAACAAGCCCCAATCAGCCTTTAAGTTAACCACCAGCATGACTTTGCTGTCACGGGAAAGATACAGTAAAGGTAACAATCCTCCCTCCTTATTACTGTCGGCCTTCACTGCATGTCGGCCATTGTGAACTGCCTTGATCTTTGCTACTGGGTGGTTTGGCTGTCTGTTACACTCAAGAAGCTTTGTTTTATTACGCTGCCATTCAAGACGGTGCGTGGGAAATACGTACAGACCTTGCTCATCCATCCTAGTAAGGAGTTCTGGCCCGTGCGACATGCGGAGATTGTGCCATTGAAACTGTTGTAGCCAATGGATTTGCTGGGGTGTTATGGTATAATTTCTTAGTGACATCAGCACATCTCTCAGCTGTTGTTCAGATTCATTCTGCCGTATAATCTGAGTAAGCTCAACAGCACTATCAAACATTGTCCAAACCTCATGACCGTGGTTGGATGGTGCACTACGACAATCTGAGATGTACACAGGGGTGTCACACACGGGAGGAAGCTGAACATCATCTCCCATAAACACTGCCACAGGAATCCCTCCCCATAACTGATCTGCATTGGCTCCTTTGTTGATTGCATAACGTGCATGCTGTTCCATCCAGCCCATTGTTGTGCGTCCAAACATTGATCGTTCATCCCCAACCAGAACTTTCAAATTTTCGCACTTTTCTGAATTTTCTCTAGTAAGGGACCTGTAGCTACAGTCAACTCATTGCAGGGCCTTCCGCCTGTTGGTACTCCTAGAAAGCTGTGAGCTGTACTGCCTTGAACGAGATAGGCAGCATTCCCCGTTGGAGTTATCACCTGTATTGCATCATTGGCTTCGAAAACTTGCGGCACTAACCTCTAGAGACACTTTTTGACATAAGACTTTCCTGTACCAGCAGTTCCAGAGACAACAAGCCGCAGTGGAAGGTAATATCCAGTGTTTTCAACAACGTTGTACAGGGTGTGTAACACAAGCTCCACTATGGCTTTCTGATTCTCATTTAGAGACAACGGACACACCTGAGGTAAATCAAGGTCTGTACTTTCTCTCTCCCGTTCGTCATCCGCTTTAATGCTTTCTTGAAGCCATTTTGTTCAGCCTCGTACCCAGGCCTGTTCGCGCTATCCGAGTGACCAGCGGAGGCTTGGAACCGAGCGCGATAGCGCGAGGCCTGGCAAAAAATGGCAAAAAAGTCCCAGATCAGCGAGAAAAAGTCCCAGATAATTTCTCGACGAAAATCCTCTGTTTTCTGCCACAATCATGGAATATTTTGGACGTATGAGATTAATACATCTCTTCCGAGCATCTGTGGACCGTTTTACCGGATAGCAACGAAGTGTGGCGGGCGTTTTTTCCCCATAAACCCTGGTAAGTAAGCATATTAATTTCATTATTTACAGTCTATATCGGCCCAGTCCAGATCTTGCTACACGAAGTTAGAAAAGAGTTCCTTTGGAGCTGGGCATGGGACGAGTTTATTATCACTATACACTGTATGTACAGTAGTTCCAAGGCTTCATTTTCATTGAAGAAAACAACAAAATGGGCGTGGATCTTTTAGTGTATAGAGTTAGAGTGGGCTTATTTTGCCTTTGCTGCTCGACTAGGATAAAATCACAATCTAGTGAACGGTTTCCCGGGAAAACCAGAAAAATCCCTAGATGCATGTAAGTTTGTATGAAATAGTTTATTTCAGATTTAAGGCTAATTTTGTTTTCTGTCAGACTTCAAGTAAATTACACCTCTCGTTCGCCTTTCAATAACCTACACTTAATCTATATTTGTTATAGCCTGGCTTGTAATTGCATCATCCTGTTAATATGCTTGGTGTTAGCAGGGGATATTCACCCTAATCCTGGTCCAAATTCAGGTAGAGAAAAATATGCTTTACCTTGATGTTAATCTTTTTTTTTTCATTGCCTAGTTAAGATGATTATATTATATTAATTTGCATGCTGCTCTTGACTTTTAGATTCTGAGTATGAATTGCTAACAGATCCATTGTGTGGTGGTTCAGGTCCCGTTAGTCTACAAGGTATCAATATGCATTATTTGGTATATTTCCCTTAGTTGCATAGTAAGCATTCAAACGTGTCATTTGCTGTCAATTTAGGTGAAGCTTTGAGGAAGTCACAGGATGTTTTTCGCTCCATAAAGAAACAGAAGTATTCGGGTTCCCCATTTAAACAAGGTATAACTCAGTTTTAAATATCATTAATTCTACAAGTATAGTTGTGTCGTTTTCTTTGACAGTCACTTGCATTCATAAAAACCCTAACACAGCACATTAAATATGTACGTTTGGAGAAGCCATTAGCTGGTCTGATCACTAGAAATTTTTCCAGATGATTCACCTTTTATTTACTTTTAAGCCCATCCCAAGTGAAATGAAAGCCATGTAAACTATTACATACTTCTCCAAGCATTGGTACATTCAGTGGATAAATTTTATCCTCTCCAAAATTTTGAATTATATTATTGTCTTGTTTGACTATATACTTACAGAGATCTTAAATATGTAAGGTAACACAAAGTGAACATGTATTCACACATGCCCAGCTTTTGCATTACTAAAAAACTAGCAGATAGATAATATTTTGTCATATTACACTGTGAATAATATCTATTGTTTTAAATTAATTATTTTAGTGCAAACCTCTCCCAGAAAGGTTATATCAAGTGCTGCAAAAAGGCAGATGAAATTTTCTCCAAGTCCACTTAAAAAGACATGCAAGAGGACAAAGTTTGAAAAAAATGGAACATTAGGTATAGTAAATCACTCAAGGTCTTGATTTGTGTAATTAAATGAGATCTATAGCAAACCGGGTGTAAAGACATCCCAGTGTCAGTTGATAGTGGTGGGGAGAGAACCCTCTTTTCAATTTGTTTACGTCATTAAATAGATATGCAGTAGTGTCCATTAGGACAGCCGCACTACAATGCACAGTTGAAAATTTCATCTAAATGCATTTGAAGTAAAAGATACTTAACAGCCTTTCCATGCTTTATTATCAACCTCTTACTGAAGACTAAGGACTTTTTTTTTCCTTTTAACAGAATCTCTTAGCAAAGTTGTTGACTTGTCATTCACATTTAAGGAAGGGTCTGCAATGAAACAGGCTGATGTTTTTAACATCATAAAAGACAAATCTGGTCGTGTTTACTCCAGGAGAGAAATTGATCATGTTATCAAGTTACTGTTCCCTGGTGTCGTAAAGAAACCAATGAAAATTGCTAAAAATGAACCGCACAAAGATGGAGGACAAAAAGATCAAAGACAGAAGCGGTATCCTTTCGCTAGCATTACAGCTCCAAGACCTTTTACTACTGTCACAGCACATTGTGCTCCTTCAAGGAAATATATTAACAAGTAAATTAAGGCTAAAATTAGGCCAATTTTCAATATAGACAATATAGTATTATTGTGTATACCCTTGTGACTCAGTACCAGTGAACCAATAGCTGTGGCAAAGATAAACATTTTTATTTCTAATAATAATAATAATAATAATAATAATGCGCATTACATGAAAGTAAATTATTGACATTAATAAGTTAACCAAAATAACTAAAAATATTATATTAAAAAAAAAACAATGGATCTATAAAAATATACTACCGGTATATACATAATCCTAAAAAATCCTAATAAAAAGCTAATCTACAAAAATGGGTCTTAAGTAAACCTTTAAACCTATGAAAATTGGGCTCATTTCGTATTTGTGATGGTAACCCATTCCACAGTTTAGGTGCCGCAGCTAAAAAAGCACGGTCACCCAATGTCTTTTTAGTTAAAGTTCTTGGCGTTTGAAGCATGATTCCCATTGCACACTATCTTAAATTGTAACTCTTTTCCTCCCCTTTGTTAAGAGTTCTTGTAGATATACCGGAGCTTGTCCATGGATCGCTTTAAAAGTAATTATAACAATCTTAAAATGAATCCTAAATTCTACTGGAAGCCAATGAAGCGTACACAGAATTGGTGAGATGTGATAAAACCTAGGAATTCTGCTGCGGAATTCTGGAGCCGTTGTAACTTTGCTATTTGTTTAGCTGGTAACCAATACAGAATACTATTACAATAGTCAATGCGCCCAATTATTAGGGCATGAACAAGCAGAGAGATCTCGTGTCATTTGTGGTGCCTTAAATGATCTGGATTCTGTAAGGGGTAGCGTCAGCTTAAAGGAAGAACAAAGACTCAAACTCCAAAAAGAGCTAACTACTTTACAGCAGCTTCAAAAAATTGGAATATGTAATTTAAAAGATGAGGATGACCTGGAGCTAATGATTGGAGAAATGTACTTTGATAATTTGGCAACAGATGTTGAAAGGCAATGTCCAATGATAACAGAAATTGTAAAACTTCTTGTGACCGGAAAGCGAGATGAGAGAAACACTGGAAAAAAGGCACCAGAGTATAAATTCAAGTCAGCAGTGCAGGTGCTTCTTGCTCTTGATGACATAAGATCACAGAAAACAAAAAGTGACTTTTCTACTTTGTTTGGCTTACTCTTGATGTCCCATGGTGCTGGAAAAACGATGCTGGATGCACTTGAACCATTTGGATTGTGCAAGTCCTACAACTTCTTGTAAGTACTACTTTACTTTATCATGTATTTTCAAAAATAAACGATTTTTCTTGAATTCAGGGACATATAATAACATGCATGCCATCATTGTCTAAACTCATTAACTGTAATTTTATATCTAGTGATTAAACATTTTACAGCTAGACTGACAAACTAGTGTCCCTGGACCAGACTTACTATATAAGTAAACAAGTCATTTAATAAAAAAATGAAAGAACATGTTGAATCACTGTCACAAATCAGCCAGTCGATCTGCTTGACCTAGCTTGATCTATAGATTCTTCTTGCATTTTTTACCCTTACATGAACCCAAGATTAACCCAAACAGGCTCTAAATTTTAAAACTTACTGGAGAAAAAAGAAATTGTTACTTAATTATATAATAAATTAAATAGGCCATTTCCAAAAACTCTCACTTTCAAAACAAGGCTAAGTGGAAAACCTTTCTTGTAAGAATAAATTATATTGACATGAGAATAAAAACTTATTTCATTTCAATAGCTGTGTAGTACATATCCTTGCTTTAGGACAGAGGGTTGGAGTAACTTGAAAATGGCCTATTACTGCCTGTTTCATTTATTAAGGCTTAATTATTTTTTTATTGCAGTCGTGGATTGCTTGATGCTCGCCTCAACAATTATGCTGAACTACTAACAAAGAAAATTCCTTTAGAGTGGCCAGTTATGTTGATCTTTGACAACATTAACATCTACAAGGGACATTCACGTCACATTAGATTAAAGAAGAGTACAGCACCATCCATGTGGAACTTCACAGTTAGAGCAGTTTTGAAACCAAATATATGTGGAATGGAATACCTATGGAGAGACCCTGACACAGCAACAAAACCCCAAGGAAAGCTGAAAGAAGTTAAGAGTGAACAGCTGTTTATTGGTTAGTATAATTAACAATTAATGAATAAGGCTGAGTATCTAATGAAGAATTATTATGGAGATCACAGAGGGTGTTATCCGTCGAGGCTGTAGGCTGGGGTGGATAACACCCTCCGAGATCTCCATAATTCTTCATATGATACGAAAGCTGAATTCAATAATTGTTTTATTATTCATTCAAAATAATTCCTACTTTAAAAACATGGCTAAAACATGGTAACCTCCATTGATCCATCGATGTTAAGTTCATCTTCGATAGTGCACGTTTAGGTTTGTCCTGCTCCGCAAATATTCTCCCAATAGCAGATGTCGCCCTTTGAGTTGTCTTCTTGCTGTTCTTGCCATGTTTTTAGCTATGTTTTCGCCTAGTTGTTACTCTTGAAACGAGTGAAATGTCCGCCATTTTTCAAGTTCACAATCAAAACAACTCAACCTCGTCCCCAGGTCTTCTCGGTTAATGGTGCCTTAACCTGCGAAAACGCTGCATTTTTTACGTCATTTCCTCGTTAAACACAAAATTCTTCCAAATTTGGTCATCAGTAACTGGTTATGGTGAATTAAATGAGTGCTTTTAGCCAATCAGAATCGGGAAAATATTTTGAATGAATAATAATAAATATTATTGAAAACTGAATCATTGGATAATGCAGTTCTAGAGCTTCGGTTGGCTTAGCCATCATGGTATATGAGCCATTATACCGTGCTTTCCAAATATGGTGATTGTAAGCATCTGCTTAAAAGTAGAAACAAGCTGAAAATGATAATCGGTTTTTATTTTTGAAGAAAGTAAAGGATTAAGTAGAATAGTAGTTGCATATCAAGTTTTAGAATTATAATGATGAACGTTAAAGTTATTGCTGCATTTTTAGTGTGATCAATTTTTTTTCATTGTAGAGTCATCACCAGAAGTTGAAAAGGGATACTCAAATGAGGTAGATACCTTACTGCTGAAAGTATTAGACTTTTGGTCTAAACACTGTTTCAGTAAAGAGAAAGGAACTGCTTAAAATGGCTGAGACAGACTTAATGGATACTCTGAAAAGTGATACATTCCTCTCAAAATCAAAGGGAAAATACTTAATCAACGTTCCTGTAGTAAAGGCAGAAGAGGACACCCCAACTGCGTCAAATGTTATGATTCTGCCTTTCTCATTGGCAGATGAAGCGTTCACCTGTGGTGAAGCAGTGATTTACCGTGAGTATGCAAGTGAGCTAGGCCTAGGCATTAAGAAAAGTGATGACTACATACCCTTTCATCTTTCAAATAAGAAGTACGATGTTGCCTCTGCCAGAGAACGATACAAGGTCTATAGAGAACTAGACATTCACTTTGAACATTTAGAATCAATGAGAAAGGCTTTTACAGACCATGAAGTACAATATAGTGAAACTGAACCGGTAATTATTACCCCAGACCATTTAACTGCAAGTAATTTCAAGACAGTTATGAAACAAAAATCACACAAAATGGCTGAGATCATCAAAGAATTAGTAACAGGGATTGAAGGTATGCCCTTAAAGGAAGCTATTGATTTCATTAAATCAAAAAGTGGAATATGGTATGGCTTCAAGGATGATTGTCTCTCAACTGTGTTGCATGTTGCTGTTGAAAGAAACCTGGGAACATTGGTTGAATGTCTACTGGCATGTGGTGCAGAGGTGAATAGTAGAGAAGGGTGTGGAGTTACACCCTTACATTTGGCAGTTTTTCACGGGCATATTGAAGTAGTGAAGACTTTACTTCGATATGATGCAAAACCTTCAGGAACATTTCCTGGAAATATACCATCACCTTTACAAGCTGCCCTACAACAAGACACGCCTTGGGAAATTGTCAAGCTTCTACAAGACAAGTCAACCGAAATTAAGTCGCAAACTGCACTTCTTGCCCATGAAATCCTTACAGGAACTGAAGGCATGAATGCTGATACAAATAATACATTAAATCACAACTCTGTAATTGGCAACCCCAATCAAGAAACTAATCACAGTGTCCGCAATTTGGTGGGTGCAAGAGACAGAGTTATTGCTGTGGGAGATGTGAAAACCACAACAACAACACGTGGCCTTAGAAATAGATGCCCTGATGAGTTTGGAAGTTTCAGTGAGACACCCGGAGACTTCCACACTATTGGCTATTGCATGGAGATTATCTCACGTCTATATGGATCAGGTGGTTTCTTTTATGTTATTAGACATATCTTGAACAGGAGCAAGATAACAACAGAGGCGTTTGATAAAATCTTCAAAGAGGAACACTATGAACGATGCTTTGAATCACTAAACGATTTTTTCTGGGGTCTTGCGTTGGCCATGGTAAAGTCATTTGAGGATTCTGTGTATAATCCTAATAGCGACGTAGCAAAGCAAAGGATCGGTAAAGAAAAGGAAAATTTCAGTACACTATTGCTGAACAGATTTAAAGACTGGGCCTCTGAAAATAGTAAAAATGATAAGACATTTCAGTTTTTTCTGAATTTGTCCTAGAATTTGGTCCCCTTTTGCTTATCTATCAAAGTGCCATACGTAATGGGCAGGGAATTGTGCGAGAGGCTTGTTGGATGAAATTGTTACCCCTTTTCGCGGTACTAAATAAGAAGAATTACAGAGACGAGGCCTTTGTTCATGTACTCAATTTCACTTGCAACTGGCCAATTGCTCTTAGGAAACTTCTAAGAAGAAATTGTTCAATCAAACTTAAAAGATCACATCATAATTTGACTCTTGATGAGTTTGTGGAGACAATGCTAGTAAGACCCCTTAAAGTGTATGCCAGAAAACAAACAACAGTATCAATGTTACAAAAGATTAACATGAACTTAGAGTTACTACAACATGTACAGAAAGTGTTCAAGAAATCATTTGATATTCACCCCACAAGCAAACATACAAAGCAAGACTCCACTCCTGACATAGTAAAGGTCGCCTGGTTTGCAACTACACAGGAATGGTTTGAAGATAAAGGAAGAAACAACATTTACAGCTACCCTTATGGAAACAAAGTTCTGCCAAACCACAAAGAACCAATTCCAAAGAAACTTTTGGACCCAATTAAGAGGGGAAAGGAAATGATTGTGAAAAGTTTTACTGAAATGAGATGTCGTCTTTTTCCTAACTCAGACTACATATCTTTGTAAATATCATGGACTGTAAGATGTCTAATTTTTGGTAGGTCTGTGGATAAAAAAGCAGAAGAAATATGCTTGCTGCGCATCTCGCATAGACTTTGGCAAGCATGTTATTCTCGTACAAATTTCTGCCATTGATCAAAGGCTACTATCAACTCTACGTTCATTTAACATGTTAAAATAAGTTGGGTTATAAGCATGTCTATATACAGTTTAAACAAAAAGGGTTAACTTAGTAATTAACAGGCACAAATTCAAGTGAGCTATGTGCTACGTGAAACGTCATTCCAGGGAATTTTCACTACAAAGTAAAATGCCCCTTCATCAATGCATGGAACACCGCTGCCTTCGATGTTTTTGTTTCAGTATAACCTATTTTTCATTGAAAACGGTTCTAAATAAACACCCCGTTTAAGGCTACAGTGGATTTGGGCGGTTTTCTGGTAAATGATAGGATACAAAGAGGCAGCACTGTCAGACGACCAGGCTTACACCTATAACAAATCTTTTTGACATTGCCCCTCAACTTTTTCCCTCGCCATCCCTCAGCTCTGCTTTGTTTGCCTTTCTTTTCTTTTGCTGTGTATGAAGTACGCGTCGAACCTTTCGGTGGGATATTTTGGGAACATTTTGTTGATTTTGCAAAAATGTGTAAGATGGTTGAAAGAAAGTGCAGATGGGTAATGGAACAAGGTTAGTGGAATAGTCAACAACTTACTTCCACTGATGCAGTTTTTAATTCACCCAGGTCTCTGTATAAAAGTTAGACGCTTTTTCTATATGTAAGAATACAGGAACCATTCAAGCAATCTGCAAACTTTGTTCCCAGTGTTAGGTAAACCGCGTTTTTGTTCCGTGCTGTTTCTTCCGGGGGAATTTCTCGGAGAACATCAGAAGCAACTAAAACACGAAGTAAATACTCCCCTTCATCAGTTGTTGTCTTCAAACAGCCATACTCTTGTAGCCTCTGGTGCTCCTCCTTCACTTTCTTCCCTGTCAGTATCCGGGCAAAGTAAGTTAGTGGATATTTAGCTCTTCCTGGGCAATCGGAAACTCTCTGTACACATGTTATTGCATTTCTTGCAAACTCCCCAACATTTTTTGTAAGGTACCTTTTTTCTGATGAGCATACGTCACACTTACTCTGGCAATCACATTGCTCGTTGAAGTATTCCAGCATTACTTTCCTCCGACAATCGCCTCTTTGAAAACAGTAGTACATGACCTTCTGAAAACTGGCAAGTCTCTGAGTGGCATAAGCTCGATTAACATTCATCTTTCCAAATATATTTCTTACGTGGAAAACTTGATTATGCGGAACAAAATAAACAACAGATTTGGAAGGTTGCCGATCTCTCCCTGCTCTACCAGATTCCTGGTAGAAGTCCTCCATAGACTGTGGTATATCATAATGAACTACAAGGCGCACATCTTTCTTGTCAATACCCATGCCAAACGCACAAGTACATACGAGACATTGTAATTCATTTTTCATCCATAAGGTTTGTCTGTGTTTTCGAATGCCATCTTCCATGCCCCCATGGTAACACTTGCTCTTTATTCCTTTGGTCTCAAGCTTTGGGGAAAGATCTTCACATTCTTTTCTTGTCGAACAGAAGACTAAAGAGCTACCTTCAGCTTTTACTAGGGCTACCAAATCATCCACCGAGTTGGCATTCTTTTGTCTCACTTCATAAAAGATGTTCTCCCTGTCCATTGGTGACAAAACTAACTGTGTGTTCCTAGCTCCTAACATAGAAATAATATCATCCCTAGTGACCTTGCTAGCTGTAGCAGTCAACATCAGAAGGGAAACGTTTGGAAAGCTCTTTCTCAGCTCTGACAATTTCACGTACGAATCTCTGAACTCGTGTCCCCACAAGCTTACACAATGCGCCTCATCAACAACAAAGAGACTAAGTTTGTTCCTTGAGTAAAGGCTGGTCAGAATATTGAAGAATGTTTTGTCCTTCTCAATGATCTCTGGAAGTACATAGAGAATTTTAAATGGACAAACTTGTTGTTTAAGGCACATGTAAATTCCTTGCCTTTCCGATTCAGACAAATCGCCATGTAAGGCTGATGCACCAATGTTGTGAGTCATACACACCTTCAACTGGTCATCTATAAGTGATTTCAAGGGTGACACAACTATTGTCATACCATGAAATTTATGAGCAGGAAGCATGTAAATAAGTGATTTTCCTCCCCCTGTTGGAAGGGTGACAAAGCAGTCTCTACCTTGAAGTAGATAAGTTATTGCTTCTCTTTGCTCAGTTCGGAGTTCAGTGTAACCCCACTCCTTCTCTAAAATTACCTCAAGCTGTTCAATGATGGAGTCAATATCACATGTATCATGCTGTGATGTCAGTGTGTTTGACAAATGTAGTCCTTCTAAATCAGGTAAGACTGAAGTTGTATATGTGGATACATTATTTAGAGAACTTGATGTAACTTCCTCCACAGGTTCAACAGTGGATCTTAGACATTCAATTTCTGGTAAGTCACGACCAGAAGGTGACTTCACTTTCCAAGCTTGATACACTTTGGTTGTATTACTGGATGACACAGTAATATTCTGGTACCGTTCACTTGAGAAGTTTGTTAATTTTTCCCCAGCCAGCAACACAAATGCCACCTTCAGGGCAGCATTGAAGAAAGAAATGTCTCTAAATGTCACATTTACCAATGAGTATTTTACTGCAAACAACTGTCCACCAATCTAAATAGATAAAGAACAAATTCAAAACAATTTAAGACAACTACATGTACAACAGTCATTGCAAGGGATAACATACATGGGGAGTGAAGCTTATGCAAAAATGTGAAGTGATGTCTTTACTTAAAGAGGTTAAACACTTGACAGTTATTATCTAAAAATTAATGATAAACTTTTGGCCCTCTATAAACATAAAATCATAAAATCATTCTACAATGTCATTATAAAAAGATCAAAATTTTCATACACAAAAGCTGTAATAGACACAATTAAAAACAAGCCAAAAAAGAATTTAAAAACTATCTACAGTCTCAATTTAAAAATTGTAACTATTTAAAATCAATATTAATTATTTAAAACAAGTAAAAGTAAAATAAAAATATACTTAGTTTACTACTTTACAGACTTAATATAAAAGGCTACTTAACCATTTTAGCGATGTTCAAAATTACCTGTTGCTCTTTACTTAGTAATTTAAGTCATAAACAATTAATTTCTTTTTAAAGAATTTAACATTTTTAACTTTCTTAACATCAGCAGAGAGTTTGTTCCAATGTAAAATCCTCCTCACGCTAAAAGTGCGGCATCCTACTGTATTTTTCTTTAAAAAGGACAATGAGATTTAGATTTGAAAAACAAATGGATATGTTATGAATCTGAGAAGTTGTCTTTAATATAGAATTAATGCAATCTGGAGTTCTACCCTCTAGTCTCTTATCAGCTTTAGGACTTCTGCTTATATATGCCACCATAACAATTGGAATCCAGTTCATTAAACATAAATAATATGCATGTTGTCCTTTCAGTGTCTAATGTAATGTGTACAGCTATCTTCTGTGTCCATAAGACTGTTTCTAGCAATTCCTTATTGCAAGATGATCACACTGGACTGAGGTACAACATAACTGGCTTATAACAGCGAGATATAAAATTAATTTCATCTTACCACTCTACTTGAGTTGAGGAGCACTTTGAGAAAGGCAGCATTCTCATTCCTTATCCTCCTCTCCTCTCTTACTTCATCCATATTGACCTCACATCTATGGGTTCTACTGTAATGGGTACCAATGTCCACGAACCATTCTTTTGTATGCTGGCATGTTGGGTGAGGACAGGGGAATTTGTTTTCTTGTAGTGCTGCAAAAAATTTAAATCAAATATTAAAAGTTACTAATGTGTAAAATGATTAGGCCTAAAACGAAGAGGCACAGTGGATAACAGAAATTTGAGATTGAGATGAACCGTCATCATCACCCATCAGACCTTCCTGTGTTTAAAATTCTTATAAAATTTTGGGGTATCTGCTAACAATAGGCCTTTTGCAATTGTTGGTCACATGATCAACTTTCTTGAAACCAAAAAATGTTGGCAGGAACTGAAAGAGCATATTTGTTAACCTGCAAATTTTCAGCCCTGTATCTCAAAAGTAGCAATTATTGCAATGGCTGCCAAAAAGTTGAAGGATTAGTATGGAAAAATGAACTCTTTTCATCGAGTCACAGGTGGTTCTCCACGCAAAGCCTTGTAAATTTTCTAAATTTCAAACCATCTAGAAATCTTAAATTCCTTAAGCATTACAAGGTACAGATTTTCTTTCTACACAACAAACAATTTGAGCCTGTCATGTGTAAGGGAAAGAAGATTTTATCTTTAAAATTTATCTTAATGTTAACAGTACCTGATAAGTATATCATATTTCTAGAGAGAAGTGGAACAAAATGATTAGGAACAAAATCCCTCAAGTTTTCCACGGGTCCCACTCTGCTCCACAGTACAGCCAGGGGGGGTTTCTCCTCAAAGACACGTGGTGTTATTGTAATATGAAAATACTGTCGTACCTGTAAGACATTTAAATAACCTTAACATAAAATTCAGAATTAAAAGTACATTTGGAAGAATCACAAATTTACAGACCAATGTAAAGCTATCAAACCACTAGCGAGAAACAAGTATGTCTCTGACATTCTGTCTTATAACCTAAGAAACTCAGCTGTTAACTTATATATTCCTAAATCTAAGTAAGAGATGGGAAAACATAGCCTTCACCAGAGGATCTGTCCTCTGGAAGAACATCCCAAGAGAGGCAAAAGAAAAGACCATTTCAAATCATTCCTCATAGACAAACATGCTCTTTAGTTGCAAAGTCATAGAGTTTTTAGTGTGTTAAATTTAGAACTTAGTATTTTAGTATGTAATAAGTTTATTGTAACTGTTTGCTTTTAAAGATCATGCAAAACATTCTAATCATCTTTTGTAAGAATAGTACCAAAAACTCATGTAATATTCTTGTTAAACTTGTGGCTTTCTGAAAGGCCACTGCTATGCAAGTGATCCCATGGTTAAATAAGATAGTAGTACTAGTAGCAAGAAATCCATTTAAGACACAGAGGACTGTAGATAATTCCAACCTTTGCCTTTGTACCTTGGGATAGCCAATCTGACTTACTTGTTGTCAGACAAAGATAGAATTACAAAGATAGCTTGGCTGGACATATACATATACATTGGTGGAAGGCAAGTTTGATATGGATTTCAATTTCATTCGTGTTCGTTACAATAAAAACATGATAAAAAAATTTAAAATTAAATTTACCTCTGGTGTCGTTTCAGGATAAACGCTCCTGATCTTCCTCCTTAAAACAGCCCCTAAAGCTTGGATCTGGAACATTGACGCGTACTCAAAAAGCTGACAGGTCTTCATTACCTCCGTCTTGTAAATTTCGTGGACAAAATCAGCATCTACGAGTCCACTATCATTTCCTTCGACACCAAGAAGTCTCTCTTGTGCTGCGATTCACTCAACGAGTTCTTCGTCAGCTAAATAATATGTTGAGTGAAGGGCTAGCTCGATTACACATCTTGCACGGAGTTCAACGTGCTTTAACTCATTCCCAGCAACCAACAAAGAAAAAGATCTATAAAGGCAGCTTCCATCACCAGTTGAATTCAACGGAACGTACTCCTCGAGCTCCTGAGATGGGACGATTTGTTGAGCATAAGAATCCACGTTTATTTCATCAACCATAGATTCCTTGAACGAAAATTCTCCAACAACTTTACGGATTTCATAGCAAACGTTAACTAAGCTATCCCAACCTGTTTCCGTTGCTTTTTGCATTTCTTCAAGAATTTGGCTAAAGCTGTGGCTCGGCGTCGCCATTTTGGATTTGCCATTATTTGCCAGGCGTCCTGGGCGAATTTTCCCGACAAGCTTGACAGGTGACGTCACATCCGAAATCGCCGAGGACGACTGGGAACGAGGCTGCATTTTGTTGGGTCTTTTCCTTCAGGGAGAATAATACGGGTACTGCTCCAGTCATAGCCCTCCCCACCATCATCATAATCAAAGTTCCTCTCTACACTCTCATACATTTGGTTCTGCCCTGCATATACATCCACCCAGTCTGGCTGTTCTTCTGCTTCAACAGCATCATCTTCTTCATCCTCCTCAAATACTGGTTCTTGTGGGTGGTCTGCAAAACGCCGTGCCTTAGCAACTTGGGCCTTCACAAATGTTGGACAGTCATCACTTGCAAAAAAGTCCTTAAAGCGGTCAATCCAAGATTCTGCATCCCCCTTCACTTCTTGGATGTCAAACCAGCTTGGCCAGTGTAACAGGAGCATGGTCCTACAGTAGTCTTCATTCAGTGGCCACGTTGCGTGCGTAGAACCACCACTTACAACAGGAACATTACCGTTCTTAGATGCAAAGTGGTACCAAGAACAGTGTTCATCTTGCGGTCGTGCAAGGTACTTATCCAGTGGGGTGCTGCGAGTTGCAGTTTCACCATCACGTTCAAGGCTCCTTGACCCTGACATTGACAAGTAGGTAAATGGACGGCTACATCGCCAAAGTGCCAGCCCTTTCAGTTCAAAGGAAGCCTCCGGTCCACTGATATCTCGTCTTCCTACCGTCTTTATCAGCATCTTAGCACACATTGACTTGCCTGTCACCTGGTCTGCATCACCTGCATCAACAGCATTCACCATGTCCTTAAAGAGATCAGAAGTTGCACCAGTAGGTTTGCTATCTTTGCAAGCATATCCACAGACATAGTCAATTACGGCTATGATATCATCTGTGCTAGGATTGTCCGGAGGGGAATTGGACAGAATCAAGCTTACATCCCCATTTGCTCTCCACGATTGTAACTGATAACGAGAAAGCTGAACCACACGTGGATGGTCACATGGCATCTCTAGGCGGGGAGCTCCATTATGATCTTCCACAATTTCTGGATTACTGTGAATTTTTTTCCCTGGGCGGAACTCGCTTCCAAACTCCATCCGACATACACGTTCTCTGGGCTGCAGTTCTTGCTCCGGATGGCGAGGAGTTCTAAGCAGTAATCAGAGCAACTGTGGAGTCCAACCCTGTTTACTAAAAGCAAATGATCCTCCAGTATTGCTTCTTGTGTTTCAGCTATTTGCATTAGCATCTTAACTAAGGGATCCCTATCATCTGATATGGGCTCAGCCGTTCCCTCAGGTGGTGGCCAGAGGTCTTTTCTTGGCTGCCCTTCTTCATCATTGCCAGCTGGATGTAATGCTGTCATGGCAAAGGTTTCATCTGCCCACTGACTAAGTCTAGCTGCATACTCTTCCTCTTCGCAACCATCTTCATGAGCTTCATGCAATAGCTGATGCGGTTGCCTGTCTTCCCTCCAGCTGAGTTGGTGCCAATGAATTTGACCGCGGGACTTGGCAAACTCATAGTGGTACCAATAATCAGAGACACCAAATACCGGCTTCAGTACCTTCTCATGGTATGCCTGGGTACGCAGGTCAAAGTAACTCACCACTACATGAGTATTTTCTTGTACTGCCTTGAAGAGGGCATTGCTATCTTCAGCAAGGTTTACTTCTTCACCTTTGGTCTGCAAGATGTACCCTTCCAGTAGCGTTCTAAGAGGAGTAAAGTAAAACTCGGCACAGCTTCCAGTCATGAAAAATGAAGGCAACCCACGCTTCTCATTGACCATGAACTCCATTAGGGCACGAAGCTCTCTGCGTCTCTGGTGCCAGTACTGAGCTGTATCGCGCAGATTTGCGCCAAAATACAACAACTTGTCGGTAAAAGTGTCACCTCTCGCTAGTCGCTCTTGCAGGTCTGCAACAGTTATGTGTGGGTCACCAAGTTGCTGATCAACAAAGAACCGGCTCTGCTCCAGGGCACGCTTCCTCATGATCATATTGTGGACAACAAACTTCCACACCTTATGCCTAGCAAACCTCCCATCTTGGTACCACAGCAGGTGCTCTGCCCAGTCATTCAGTGAAGGACATGTCACTGGCCGGTTTATGTGGAAATCACCCTTTCGATAGGGTTCCAAACAAGGAAATGCCATCGTAAAAAAGTACGGAGTGGTAAACTCTGACGCTGGTGTCGTGTCCGTGGTCGGCCAAGGAATCACTGGTTGTTCCACTCTTCGTTGTGTATTTTCTGGTTCACCCTCCCTAGGTTCTGACACAACTTCATTTACGGCTGCTTCAACTTGTGCTTGTAGGTTAACGCCAGGCTCAGGAAGAATTACTCCAGAGACTGTAGAGTCATCAGTACAATCTGTTTCCCCAGCATCCAACTGCTGTGGTGCCGGGCCTTGGTCATCTACCCGTTCTGTGTCAGAAAACTCAACAGTTCTCAGATTGGGCAACTCACCATCTTCAGGTAAATTCTGTATGCGAGCAACATCAATAACAACATCACCATAGGCAGGATTGCTGTCCTTCAACTAACGAAGCGCTCCCTCAACACTGTCTTCTAACCCTGAAGTCCTTATGGGTATCATCTTTTCCTTGTCTTCTCACGCGAATGATATCCACCTCTGCCGGTAGTCGTGGAAGAATAGTTGCCGGTTCTTGCACAGCCTGTGGGAATGCAATGTAATGCCCCTTTGAAGCGATACCTCCATGCTTCAGTAAGTGTGCATGCACGGTAGGTGCTAGCCTGGCTATCAGTATCTGTTCAGCATCTGACATGTCAGACAAAATCTCAGGAACAGCCATTGGATCCATGTTATTCTCTCCTGACCAAACGTTTGGTACCTTCTTATCTCTCCTGCAGCGAGTACACGTTTCTTGTGCCCTTGCGCTCCAGTCGTTTTTCCTTGCAGACCTCACAAAAACTAAATGCGTAAGTCATCTGCTCCACCTCAAATGCACGAATAGCACTGTACGCCCTATCTTCTTGCTGACTTGAACCTGCTGGTGGAGGTGGAGGTAGATCTCCAACAACTTCTCGCTACCTTTTCTCTTGTTCTGATATTCGTCTTTGGTTTCGCCGCTTTCTTTTTCTTCTGTCATCCTCTGTTTCCACTACACCAACTGCCCTTGCTCCAGCAATGAGATGGTCATCTTCTTACTGGCTACAATTATTTTCTTGTGGAAGAGATTGCTGTGTTCCCTGCGAATTGCTTGCTCCCTCAATTGGGCCATTTTCTACCACAGGAGTGTCCCTTTCCAACTCTTCTCCTAGTGAATGAATTATTTGTATTTACCAACTACACATTAATTAATATAAGGTATGGGGCTAGTGGATTCTACTTTTCATCTTGCTCGAGGGGTAAGTGAAGTTTTTTGGGTATTCAATTGCAGGAACTGGTGATCGAAGCATAATAACAAAAGCTGTGACTCTTGGGCTAATAGCTGCAAGCTACAGCCTGCCCAAATAGGTCAAACTGTAAAACTGAGTTTCTTTGCACCCTTAAGAACTGTTTGTGTACAAGCATTATTATTATTACAATTGCTGTATCTTTTGAAGTGTTGAACCTGAACCTGATTTCAAAAGAAAATACACCATATACTTTCCAAACTCAAGGCTTGACAATCATTTTCTAAGTGGTGATATTGACTGAGATTTCATAAATCAGTCATCTAATCAGAGTGACCAAACCAATCAATTATTAATCATCAATTATAATTAGGAAAAATAATTATCTCTATGTGAATTCAATGTATTTTTAACTGTGTGTAAATCAACGTAATACAAACTTAAAGCTACGTTTTCCCATGATATGTACAATCAAACGCCAACAAAAGAAAACCTCCCACAAACCAGTCAGCAGAATTAACTAAACAGACATGATGTCGTGTCATATTAAGCACAACAGCAACGCTTGAAATACATGAGAAAAGGCCTCATCATTAAAGAATTATATAGCTGCTCTTTTTAGTCCATAAAAAAAATGTATTTGTCACACACACACACACACCTTTGTATACACCTATTTCAATTAAGGTTGCTTCAGAGAAGAATGATGCATGATCCATGTTTTAGAAACCTAGAAAGCAAAGGCTGCTGACGCTTCTATGCTATGTCAGCAGAATGTTAAGACAATGTATTTCAAAACACTGAATCATAGGCCTTTTAATTTAAGACAGTGATTTGAGGTAAGGTTTTTCTCTGTGGTAATATGCGAATGTTGCAAATTTTCAATGAGTTTGCTCGGCCCGTGCACGTGGGAATTTTTTGAGTTAAAAACATCAAATTCAAGCTGTTTTTTTAATTACAATAAATAACTGAATATTTCGAGAGAAGTAAATTTTACTGCGCTTTTCACAAACATGCGAACTCTAAAGTTCAAAAGACGCCTTCACAATTGCGTTTTTCGCTGCCGTCAATCATAATTACGATCACAAGCAACCAACCTTGAAACACAGAAACACATAAAACAGATCGAAATCCACTAATCACAAATCACAAACCATGACCTTTTGAACCCAATAAAGTAAAGTTTTGTTTCTTAAGAGGTCCGTTAAGAACAGTGACGGCTGCGAAAAACGCAATCGTTGGTTGGCTTTTGAACTTCAGAATTCGCATGTTTGTGTAAAGCGCAGTAATTACTTCAAGTAAAATAAAGCTTCACACACAACCGAATCTTTTTACTTCAGGTTAACTTAAGGCTATTTTCCCACGCAGCATAATTAAGATTGATTGACATGTTTCGCCTTTCTCAAAGCTCAAGAAACCGCAAGTCAGCTAAGTCGGTCATAAGGATGGTTTTCAAGTCGCTTGAAACTTTCTTGAATCGTTTAAAGTTTCCGACTTTAATGAGATGTAAAGTAAAGTTACTTGAGATTTTACTTAGGCCTCCACACACGAATTTTTGGTTAAGTAAAACTTAGCTGCTCTTAAGTCTTACTTAACAGCCTAGTGTAGTGTTATGCAGACGATTTAAAACCCTACAGTTTCGTTGCCGGCGAAAGCATGTTTAATAAAGAGAACAAGAAAGACAATTAAGGTGCGGCGGTTTGGTCACGGCTGGAATTCAGCTACTATTCAGTGGCGGCTTGGAGGCTATTGCTGTTTTTACCCGTCGATAAGTTGGTTATGCTTTAAAAAAGCGAGAGCCAATTTTATGGATGTAATACTTCGTGCTCCAGTGAAGATTTTTTAAACGTTGAACGGCGGAAAATGCACATGATGTCACAGGCATTTTCTGCTTGAAAACGTCTATTAGTCGGTTGACTCATACCGATTTAATGGTCAAAATAATGGTAGTCTTTGCACTAGAGCCTAAATAAGCTAAGAAATATAAGTAAATTTCAAATTCTTCAAGTAAAAGAAAGCTTTACACACAACCCATCTTTTTTACTTCAGGTTTACTTAAGCCCATTTTCCCACGCAACATAATTAAGATTGATTGACATGCTTCGCCTTTCTCAAAGCTTAGAAACCGCAAGTTCGCCAAGTCCGTTTTAAGGATGGTTTTCAAGTCACTTGAAACTTTCTTGAATCGTTTAAAGTTTCCGACTTCAATGAGATGCAAAGGAAAGTTACTTGAGATTTTACTTAGGCCTTCACACACGCATTTTTGGTTAAGTGAAACTTAGCAGCTCTTAAGTCTTACTTAACAGCCTAGTGTAAAGACAACCAATGTCGCTGTAATATTCATACAGGTTAGAATTTTTGAACAGCACTTGAAGACGAGCAAAACGTGTCTGCCAGTTAGTGAGGAAACAAACTTCTTGGTAAGAAGAAGTTTTGCTACTTACTTCGCTATGGCTCATAAGCAATTATCGGATTTTTTTCCAAAAACAATGGCATAGTCCTAAGCAAACATACATTTGCTTGTCTTTCGACTTCGTTTGTTTAAAGAACAAAACGTACGGTCAATTGCTTCTGTTTCAGTTCACTTTGTAGTACGTGAGCCATTTCCAAATGATGTTCGCCTATGTTCATGTACGCTTGTGTTGCATTCATATTTGCAAGTCCAATATCGCGGGCACGAAGTTACTTTCTTATACTTTTAATAGACAATCGATGTGCTTGAATAGTATTTAACACGTGTATTTCGTGAGCCTGACTGTTCCAATGCATCTTGTTCATAGGGCGTTTTAGGCTCTGTTCACACTGTACGGGATAGCTCTGCTTCAGCACGAAAACCATACCTGGTGGGGCTTCTGCCCGGGGGGGAGGGGGATACTCCCTATAATGGCCTATACGGGGGGGTTCGGCCCGAAAGGGGTACCTTTTTCTGGCTTCAGGTATTTGAAAGGGTAGGGATTTTACTCGTTGAAGTATAC